ATGGAAGTACTCTCCAGGTAGGAGTAAAGGGAACATCGATTTGAGATGATGTGATATAGGTCAACAGAGGCCCTGTTAACCACTGTGAGTTTGATTTTATTCTAAAAATAAAGAGATATGAAAAAATTTAAGGTTGGGCATGGTGACTTATGACTGTTATCCCAGCTACTCAGGAAGCTAAGGCAGGAGGATCACTTGAGGCCAGGAGTTTGAGACCAGCCTGGGCAACCCTATCTCCAAAAAAATAGCTAGGAGTGATGACGCGCACCTGTAGTCCCAGCTACTCTAGAGGCTGAGATGGGAGGATCACTTGAGCCAGGAGTTTGAAGCTGCAGTGAGTTATGATAGCACCATTGTACTCCAGCCTAGGTGACAAAGCAAGGCCCTGTCTCTAAAAAAAAACTATGGTATAGATTCTCAACCTTTCATCCCCACCAGAGTTATTGTGGAAGTCCCAGGACTTCCCTGAATCTCATCCAGGTAGTTTGGGTGGTGTCTAAACCTCAATATTTGTAAGAAGCTCCCTGGTGATTCTGATCCACACCTCAATTTGGCAACCACTAACTTAAAATGTTTACTTAATCACCAGTCTCATTTTTTTTATATGAACTCTCATTTTTCCTGAGGCTTTTGCTTTTTTCCCAAAATTGTATAATATTTTAGAGTTTGGTTGACTATTACTTTTGTTGTCTTTTATTTCTGCTGTAGAAATTTTACTTCTTTCAGAAAAAGAAAACAGCATGTATTTGCTTTCTTGTTTTATTTTAGATTTAGAGACCAGGTATGAGACTAACAAGTTATCTTCAGAAGATGACATTTGTGAAATAAACTTATCCCAGTGGAAGATAATGGAAAGAATTAAAAATCACAGCCTTAAGGGTCTCATTTTAAAAAATGACTGGGAGTCCAAAAGAAAATTTGAAGGACAAGAGGGACCTCAAGAGGGATATTTCAGTCAAGTGAAAATTCCATCTGAAAAAGTGTCCTCCTACCGGAAACGCACATCTGTTACTCCACATAGGAGAATTCATTTTGTTGATAAACCCTATGAATGTAAGGAATGTGGGAAGGCTTTTAGAGTGCGTCAACAACTTACTTTTCATCACAGAATTCATACTGGTGAAAAACCCTATGAATGTAAGGAATGTGGGATGGCCTTTAGACAGACTGCACACCTTACTCGACATCAGAGACTTCATTCTGGTGAAAAACTCTATGAATGTAAGGAATGTGGAGAAGCTTTCATATGTGGCCCAGACCTTAGAGTGCACCAGAAAATTCATATTGGTGAGAAGCCGTATGAGTGTAAAGAATGTGGGAAGGCCTTTAGAGTACGAGGACAACTTACTCTTCATCAGAGGATCCATACTGGTGAGAAACCGTATGTATGTAAAGAATGTGGGAAGGCCTTTAGACAATATGCACACCTTACTCGACATCAGAAACTTAATATTGCTGACAAACTCTATGAATGTAAAGACTGTGGAAAGGCTTTTTTGTGTGGCTCTGGCCTTAGAGTACATCACAAACTTCATACTGGTGAGAAACCCTATGAATGTAAGGAATGTGGGAAGGCCTTTAGGGTACGACAACAACTAACACTTCATCAGAGAATTCATACTGGTGAGAAACCCTATGAGTGTAAGGAATGTGGAAAGACCTTTAGTCGTGGTTATCATCTTATTCTCCATCACAGAATTCATACTGGTGAAAAACCTTATGAATGTAAGGAATGCTGGAAGGCCTTTAGTCGTTACTCACAACTTATTTCACATCAGAGTATTCATATTGGTGTTAAACCTTATGATTGTAAGGAATGTGGGAAGGCCTTTAGACTACTTTCACAACTTACACAACATCAAAGTATTCATATTGGTGAGAAACCCTATAAATGTAAGGAATGTGGGAAGGCCTTTAGATTGCGCCAAAAACTTACCCTACATCAGAGCATTCATACTGGCGAAAAACCCTTTGAGTGTAAGGAATGTAGGAAGGCCTTTAGACTTAATTCATCCCTTATTCAACATCTGAGAATTCATTCAGGTGAGAAACCTTATGAATGTAAGGAATGTAAGAAGGCCTTTAGACAACATTCACACCTTACCCATCATCTGAAAATTCATAATGCAAAAATATAATTCTTTTCATTCCTGTGTTATAGAACATTCTGTGAATGTAGTAATTAATCTGTTTTGTTCCATACATACAACTGACTTGGCATAAGAGGTTTTATACCATTAAAATAATATATTAATGTAATGTATTCCACTGTCACTCAAACCTGAAACTTGAGCACATTTGTTCTAAAAACAAATGGGAAAGACACTTACCATCTGTATCCCATGAATTTCCTATTTGTGTCATATTGAACAAGATGCTTAACTGCTCTACGCTATAATTTCTTCATTTGTAAAATGGTAATATACGAGTGTAGTAAAGATGGCTACAAATTCTCTGACACTCTTTCCATCAAGAGGTGGAATCTACGTCTCCTCCCTTAAACATGGACAGACTCTGTGACTGTTTTCCCCAGTAGAATATAGTAGAAGTACTGCTGTGCTGGTTTGTGGACCCAGGCCTTACTGGTAGCATTACTTCATCTCTTGAAATACTCTCTCAAGCGCCCTGAACTGTCATGTTAAAAAGTCTGGCTACTTTGGTGAAGAGACAACATGGAGAGGTTCTGAGACTACATAGAGAGAGGCACCTTGCTCAGCTCAGTCTTCCAGACGTCTACCAAGACACCAGACATTGAAGTGAAATAGTTTTGGATCCTCCAGATCCCATCAGCCGAATGACCCTGAGTGACCTCAGCTGATGCTATATAGAAGAATGACCAGGTGAGCCCCTGCCCAAATTCCTGACCCATAAAACAATGACCTATAATAAAATGGTGGTTGTTTTAAGCCACTAAGTTCTCTCTTATTATCATCATTAGTATTACTCCTAAGAATTTATATTAAAGACTATGGGCATAATGAATATATAATAGAAATGCCTTCTACCAATAGTCATTCCTTATTGAATTTTAGATATCTTGTTAAAATATTGAGAGTAAGAAATTGTTTTTCAGTGTGTTCATTAAAGAACAGATACTCTAGAATCTACATTCTCTGGCCCCAGTCAATATTTAATTAAAAATTAACAAAGAATAACATCAAAGGAAACTACTTGGAAATTTAAAAATTACTTGTATTATAACTCCTGCCTTAATTTTTTTTAATCATTCCATTTTAGCTTTTTTCAAATGTTGAACTGTTCTATCTTTGGCCAGTGGGAATCCCCTCAGATTGGCTCCTGTGCCCTTTTGTCATGACCACTCTTTCCTTTGATAGATTTTTTTTTTCTGAACCAAATACATTGATCAGCTATGGAGCATACTAGAACATTATTCATAAAGAAAGAATGCAGCATTTATCTTGCCTTTCCTTTATGAGCTGTATTTTAAGAAAACCAAAAGTTGGTGAAGGAAAGTTCTTTATTATTGGAGAATTACAGCTATTAAAGGTCAAAGGAATGACAGAATTTGAAAATTTACTTTTTAACTTATGAAATAATGGATTTGGGTGGTGATAGCGATTCATGTCAGGAGTATTAGGTAGAAGATTGATAGAAGCTTATAATGGATGGAGCAGAATGACAGAACCCACTAATCTATATTAGCATCTCTAAGGTAGATCAGCCAGACTGTGTATTTGTTAATGTGATGCAGAAGATGTACAGGGTACCACCTGTGAAGTATTTTTGTCCAAAAAATTGATTGAGAATTACAATTCAGTCTCTAAATCTAATTACCAGTTTATAGGAAACATGGAGAATAAAAGAACAAATTAATGACACAAAGAAGCAAACAACCAAATCCAAAATTTGGGAAATTTTATAGAATTAATGGCCTAATTTCTTAACCAATACATGTCAAAAAAGATAAAAGTAGAATCCTACAAATTAAAGGAGACTTAAGAGACATATCAGTCAAATACAGTATATGGAATGTATTAGGAGCCTTGTGTTAAAATGTACTTGGGATTTGTTTTAAGACAAGCAGACACGGAAATGAAGGAAGAAGTTTATACTCAGATCCCTAGAAACAGGAGGCCTGTCATGCCATGTAGGGCCGCATCAGGAGCAGCCAGGTCTTGTTAGGAGGCAGAAAGGGTGAGGACAGAGCATGGCATGGCCCAGAGCCTTTATTGGGGTTTTCATGGGAAGGAATTGATAAGGCAGGGTTAGGCACACTGAATAAGCTTAGGATTGGATAGTTTGGAAAGTTTTGCTGGGCTCTGGGGTATAGGTGAATTCCTATACCCCAGAGGAGTAGGTGATTCCTACTTAAATAGTACCTGGCCCTGGGGTGATTCAGAGCAGGAGGAATATTGACTTGGTGTGTGAGTGTTTGATAAAGGAGGTAGTTGGGAGTATGGGCTCTGGATTGGTTGGTTTGTATATCAGAGATATACTTTCAGGGGAGTTGTTTGCTATCTGTGCATTAGCTGGCTCTGGGAAGGGCAATCTCTCTAGGATCAAGGCCCCAAATACCAGAACATCAAGAATACATAAAATAAGAATATATAGTCAATACAATCCAGATTTGAACAAATAAATGAAAATTTTTTAGATATTATGGAAATGTAAACATGGATTAGATATTAAATGATAATAAGTAATTATTCGTTTTGTTAGGCATGATGATGGCATTATAGGTGTGTGTAAGTCAGTATGTGTTAGAGATCCATACTAAAGTATTAAAGGATAAAATTATGTCATGCCTCTGATTTGCTTAAAAATACTTAAGAAAAACAAAAGATGTGAGGGATCAGGTGAATCACAATTGGCAAATTGTTGGTAAGTGTTGAATCTGGATAATGTATACATAGGGTTTATTGTGCTATTCTTACTTATATCTGAAAATTTCCATAATAAAGTTTTTTTAAAGTA